TTCAGGTGCTATATTTTTAAATGTTTAAGTGAGCATTAGTGATAGACTATAAAATTTTATGTTTTTTATTAGATTGCTGAGCTGAAAAGAGGTGCTGAAATTATTGTTTGCACACCTGGTCGAATGATTGATATGTTAGCAGCTAACAGTGGTAAGTCAGGGGTATTTTTCTGTTCTCTTTTTCTTGTTTTTGAATTCTATACATTTTTGTTAAAGCACATACTAGAAACCAACAAAGGGTTTCTTCATTTTTTCTTAAAGCTGTAATATGTTAAAATTTGTATTGTAACAAGTTTATTGTTACAAACATTAATAATAACTTTGCAATTTAATTTAAAATTTCTTTTCAGAATTACCTTCATGTGATCTTACCTTGGATTCTTAATCCATTTTTGGCCTAGCTGTGCTTTTAAAAGAGTAGGTGTACTATCCTTTTGTTTATTATAAAATTTAGACTTTTTCTCCCCCAGAGCTAGTATTTTTTTTTTACAATACAGGATAAATTAAGATATTGCAGCTTCAAGAAATGTTGTCTTTTGTAAATATTGCATGTTTTTTAGCTCAAATGTTATGCTTTGTTAAATTATTCCCTATCAAAACTGTTACTAAACTGTTGACATTATTTAACTTCTGTGGAGAAAGGCCCTTCAAGATTTATAGAACTGGGCTTCCGAGACTTAAACCACCAAAGGTAGGTAATTTAATGCTGTTCCCAACCTTGCAAAACTAATTGAGACTGCAAATGTTAGTGTGGAATACTTAAATATTAGACAGTACTTATTTTGGCTCATTTCTATTTTTTGAAGAAAATGCTTTCAAATGTTTCCATTGCAGTATTCAGTATATATATAATAGAGTATTAAAAACTGTGAGTAATGCATGTTTCTAATAGCATTTTGCTTGAATTTCTGTATAAACTTAATTCTAATTATACATAAAGTTGGCAAAGTGACATTGAAGTTGATAAGTCATTGTGCTTGTACAGCATATGAAAAGTTTTGGGTTGAATGCTGATTAAATAATTCCTTGTTTTTTCTCAATGCTGCATTGAATAAGTTTCCTCCTGAAATTCATCTTGATTAATTTTACCTTTTTCCCTTATCTGTCCTTTTGGTCTATCTTTAATAACTATTTTATACATGTTTTTGCCAGGTGATTGATTCAGCAGTTGGTAGCAATGCTTGTTTTAATCCTTTAGAAAGGATTTCCTGTGTGTATATTTAGTTTTCACTGATTAAGAAACCAGTTGCATTTATTTAAACCACTGGGAGCACTTAATAAAATTGTATGTGTATCTTTGCATAGAAAAATGTATTTATGTAATCCATTTGGTATTTAAAGTTTTTCTATAAAATGTTAATTTCTTATGTCAAAGAGCTTCTCATTAATGGTTTGACATGACCATTTAAGAAGCTGCTAAATATATGGAAGTAAGTTATAAAGTAGTGTAAAGAGAAGTTTTCTGCGTCTGAAGTAGTTAGCACTGGAACTTGCTTTCCACACATACGCTGTAATCTCTAATATGTTTTTTTCTAGGTGATGCTGTCAGTAATGGCTGATGTGGCTCGATGCTTCATCTCAGTCTTAGTTTTATGATGTGTTTTGGAGAGGGCTGTTTTCTGAATTTTACAGGTTCTTCAGGCCCTATGATGGTATGCAAGAGATGAGTTTGACAAAATAAAGGGCCTCATATACCCATTGTCAGAAAGTATTTGCCACTAGAGTAAGACATTGTAGATCAAAATTTCTTTCACTGTTTAAAGATACCTAACCTACCCCTCTGGTTAAGTCAGGCATTTTAGTTCCCTTTACAGTTTTTTAAAGTTCTTGGTAGCCATAAAATGAATTGTAAGTGATTTTTAGTTTTCTTTTTGTCTTTATTTTTTCTTCTCATCTTAGGCCGGGTCACGAATCTTCGAAGAGTAACGTATGTTGTTCTAGATGAAGCAGACAGAATGTTTGACATGGGTTTTGAACCACAGGTAATCATTACATTTGTTAAGTGTTTTGAAATGTAACTGTAACCT